TATATTATATATATACATATATATAATATACATATATATGTATGTATATATATTTGTGTACATATATATATTATATATATATATATATGTATGTTATGTATGTATGTATGTATGTATGTATGTGTATGTATATATGTACATATGTGTGTGTGTTGTATATCAGCATATACATACATATATGTGTGCGCACGCGCGCGCGCGCATGTGGTGTGTTATTTCATGTAACTATGTTTTACTATTGCATATGATGGTATTGCATTTGCATTCTCCTCTGTTTATCCAGTCATTTTTGTGGCCTGTCATCCGAGCGCGGGTCGCGGCGCCGCATGAAGCAGCCGAAAGGAATTTTTGATGTTTTTTTTAGAGGGAATAGAACAAAATATGATCCACATAAAATCCTTTCAGTTTAAACGCAAACAACATTATTACCTAATATCATTTTTCTTTCACTAAGTGTGTAAGACTACTTACGGTGTTTAGTAGATTAACGTCATGTTTTTTTCTAATCTTTCACTCGTCAAAAAAGTAATAATGATAATGATAATAATAATAATAATAATAATGATAATAATAATAATAATAATAATGATAATAATAATAATAATAATAATAATAATAATAATAATAATAATAATAATAACAATAATAATAATAATAATAATAATAATAATAATGATAATAATAATAATAATAATGATGATAAAAAATGATAATAATGATAATAATGATAACAATAATAACGATAAGCTAAAGCCAAATGCAGGCGGGTGTTTGGTCTGCTTTTACTTTTTTTCTCGTTAAGGCTCGTTAAGAGTCAATGAAAACGAGAGAAGAAGGAAAGAGGACACTGTACACCTTCCTCTTTTTCCTCTCTTTCTCTTCCTCTTCTATCTTCTTCTTTCGTCGATCTTTAGCCTTCCCCCTCTCTCTTCTTCCCTTTTATTCCCTCTTTTTAATTCCCAATTGCGGCTTCCCTCGCGCCCTAACCTTCGGGAGCGGAAGGGCGTGGCTCACTTCCTCTTTTTTTATCGCCTCTCTCATCTCCTCCCGTTTGCTTTCTCATCCTATCTTTTGTCTTTTTTCATATTCGTTCCTTCTCCTTTTTGTGTCTGTTATTCATTTGCTTATCAGTTTGCTCTCCCTTTCCCCTAATTTCCTGTTTATATATTTTTTGTTGCTTATTACATCACGCTCCCCGAATTTTTTTTTTTTTTTTTTATAAGTCAGCTTGATCAGATAGCTGGTTAATGGATGAAGGAAACTGCCTTTGGAAATGTGCGTTTAACAGTGAGGATATTAGATAAGAATCTTTCTCTCTCTCATTTTCTCTTTTTCTTTCTCTCTCTCTTTCACGCTCTCTCTCTCTCTCTCTCTCTCTCTCTCTCTCTCTCTCTCTCTCTCTCTCTCTCTCTCTCTCTCTCTCTCTCTCTCTCTCTCTCTCTCCTTTCTCTCTCTCTCTCTCTCTCTCTCTCTCTCTCTCTCTCTCTTTCTTTCTTCTTTCTCTTCTCTCTCTCTCTCTCTCCTCTCTCTCTCTCTCTCTCTCTCTCTCTCTCTCTTTCTTTCTGTCTCTCTCTCTCTCTCTCTCTCTCTCTCTCTCTCTCTCTCTCTCTCTCTCTCTCTCTCTCTCTCTCTCTCTCTCTCTCTCTCTCTCTCTCTCTCTCTCTCTCTCTCTCTCTCTCTCTCTCTCTCCACTTTTTTCTCTCTCTCCCTTCAGTCTCCTTTCTATCTTTCACAACCTCTCTCTTTACTCCTTTCTCCTCTTTCTTCTGTTCCTCTCCCATTCTTGAGAGAGAGAGAGAGAGAGAGAGAGAGGAGAGAGAGAGAGAGAGAGAGAGGAGAGAGAGAGAGAGAGAGAGAGAGAGAGAGAGAGAGAGAGAGAGAGAGAGAGAGAGAGAGAGAGTTGCAGGTAGACAAACAGACAGACAGACAGACGGAGGAGGACGAAGAAAGCCTCACACACATGCAAACAAAAGAAATTCAACCCGACGCAGGCAGTCCCAACATCGGCCCCGGACTCAGCAAACGTAATCACTTCTCGCATCAAAACCGCTTACATTATGAGACCCTTCATGGCAATATCGCTTCGCTAATTACTCAGACTGCCATTCTTCAAGTCGTAATAAAACCGCAACAAACAATTAGTTTACGGAGCTTTAGCACTTCTACCTTCTCAAGTGCATTGCTAAGGAACCCCGCTGTGTGTGAAGACCTTGTATAGCGTTTATAGGGGTTGAAAGTCACAATCAAGGGAACAGAATAGCACCCAGGCTCAACTCTGAGACAAATTATACGACAAATGCAACCCTTAAATTGTGCCGCTCTTTGGGGATTTTCGCTTTTTTCTGTCTTTCTCTCCTTTTTTATCTTATTATAGATGCGTCTGATTTATTTTTTCTCTCTCCTTTTTACCTTTCATTGCAAATACGTTTATTGTATTTTTATTTTTTTTTATTTTCTTCTTTTTATCTCTGATTACAAATACATCCGATTTTTTATTTCGTTTTTCCCGTCTTTCTCTCCGTTTTATCTCTCGTTACAAATACACCTGATCTATCTTTGTTTCTCCTCTTCGTTCTGTAGGATTATACTGATCTCCAGAGGACCGCTCTTCACGTGAATCGCAGGAGAAGAAGCGGCGATTTATCTCAATTCGTCTCCTCGAAAAAACGTCAGATTGGATCCCATGCATCATTGTCTGCTCGTGTGACAGCGTCAGCGAGGCAGTGGACAGGAGACGGCAACAGAGGGCAGGGGCGGGGGGAGGGGGGGGGGTAGAGGAAAGAGGGTTAGAGAGAGATGGGTAGGTTTGTGTATGGATGGATGGATAAATAGATAGTGTGTGTGTGTGTGTGTGACAGACAGACAGAGAGAGAGAGAGAGAGAGAGAGAGAGAGAGAGAGAGAGAGAGAGAGAGAGAGAGAGAGAGAGAGAGAGACAGACACAGACATATAGATATACACAGAGAGAAGAGAGAGAGAGAGAGAGAGAGAGAGAGAGAGAGAGAGAGAGAGAGAGAGAGAGAGAGAAACAAGCAACAATACAAAGTAAGAAAGGAATGGACGGAGAAGAAAGAAAGAAAAAGAGAAAAGAAGATAAAATGGAGAAAGAAACATTAATGCGTAATGACACTATAATGCAAACACTCCCTAATGCCTTCTAATAACACGGGTCGCCCTGTCTATCATCGACTAAAATATTGATGACAAAAGTGACAGCGGACACTCACGGGGCCCCGGTTGCGCAAGGGCGAGCGCTGACGGCTCTGTCATCGCGGGTTCATATGGGAGGCCCTTTATATGTGGGAAATTTCGCCAGCTAAACTTTTATGTGTTACCAATAACGCATATTTTACTCTGTCGCTGTCTATTTTACTCTGTCTTTGGCTGTCTTTGGCTGTCTCTGTCTATCAGTCTCTATCTCTATCTCTATCTCTCCCTCTCCATCGCTCTCTCTCTCTCTCTCTCTCTCTCTCTCTCTCTCTCTCTCTCTCTCTCTCTCTCTCTCTCTCTCTCTCTCTCTCTCTCTCTCTCTCTCTCTCTTCTCTCTTCTCTCTCTCTCTCTCTCTCTCTCTCTCTCTCTCTCTCTCTCTCTCTCTCTCTCTCTCTCTCTCTCTCTCTCATTTTTTGCCCATCTGTGTGGGTGTGCGCGCGCGCGCGCGTCTGTGTGTGTGTGTTGTGTGTGTGTGTGTGCACATATACACGCACGTACACACACACACACAGATGGACAGAATATGAGAGATAAATAGAGAAAGATTGAGATAGATAGATAGAGAGAGAGAGTAGCAAGAAAGATGACACGAGAGAGGGAATGCTTGCACTTGTCAGACCGTCTCTCACTCGTGCATGCCACCCCTC